CCCCCCCCCCCCCCCCCCCCCCCCCCCCCCCCCCCCCCCCACGTCTCGGTCCTCAAGCTTTTGACCTGCGCGTTGAAACGGAAGAATATGGTTCCCATCCAGTGAATGAGCCCCTTTGTGTGGCGCTATATATCGCTGCAGATCAACAAAATGAAGTTAGTACGTCTATGTAGAGCAGCAGGTTCCCAAAACGTTACTGGTTCCTGACTCTTTATAATGAAGCAAAGTCAACTTGTGACCCATCATCACCACTTCTATATGTCTATGGGTTATTATAACCAGGTCAACTAAAGTTTTCCTTACAGGCCTGAAGAGGTCAAATTCAATTCATCCAGTTCTTTTATAAGAAAAGAGATTGCTTCCGTCTGCGTGAAATGATCACGTTTTCAGGGTTGAAAATGATTTTTAAATCTAATCTGAAAGTGTAAATACTTACTCTCTTAGAAAACACTTGGCAAGTTCATGCATTTTTTTCAGATCAACGTCAAGCAGGGATCACAACCTCTCATATTGACCACGTCGTTCTCAGTAAACCGTAACTTGTCTCTCTGTCCCCAGCCGTTCATGCCCCTGACAATCCTGCGCTGCTCTCCAGACGTCCACCACTTCCTGTGCCAAGCCTTTGTCCCAGCATGCACCGAGGAGAACAAGGTGATCCGTCCGTGCAGAGAGCAGTGCGAGGCCGTCCTGTCGGACTGCGAGGAGGATATCCGAATCTTTGGTATCACCTGGCCTCCTGAGCTACAGTGTGACGGGTGAGAAACATGCCATTACAGACGATCCACGAGAGAAAACTTGATCAGTTCCTTGAAAGGTTTGTTTGTTTGTTTTTTCAACTAGATTGGACCCGTGTAGCTCTCCCGGTGCTCCGACGCTCCCCGCAACCACCTCAATGAGCTCCTCATCGGCTAAGCGGGACCTTGGCTTCTGGTGCCCACTGCAGCTGAAGACCAAACCGGGTTACGGCTCTTCTTTCTTGGGCGTCCAGGACTGTGCTCCGCCTTGCTCCAACATGTACTTCAAACCCCACGACATTGAGTTCGCCAAGAACTTCGTTGGCGTGTGCTCCATCATCTGCTTGGGCGCCACGCTCTTCACCTTCCTCACTTTCCTCATCGACGTCAAGCGCTTCCGCTACCCGGAGCGCCCCATAATCTTCTACGCCGTCTGCTACAGCTTCGTGTCGCTCATATACTTCATCGGCTTCCTGCTGGGGAACAACACGGCCTGCACCAAAGCGGCTCAGCCGGCCGGCGTGGACACGGTGGTGCTGGGCTCTCAGAGTAAAGGCTGCACTCTGCTTTTCATGCTGCTCTACTTCTTCTCCATCGCCGGCATCGTCTGGTGGGTCATTCTCACCATCACCTGGTTCCTGGCAGCTGGACCCAAGTGGAGCTGTGAGGCCATAGAAAAGAAAGCGGTAAAGGGGTTTTAAGAGTTTACGAGAATGTAAATATAGAATGAGCAAACTCCCCTGGAAAATGGCGGACGCTGTTGAGAGTATTGATCCAGGTGGCTTCTGTCTTTTAGGTGTGGTTCCACTCGGCTGCCTGGGGGATCCCCGGGGCGCTAACCGTCATGCTGCTGGCTCTGAACAAGGTCGAAGGGGACAACATCAGCGGCGTTTGCTTCGTGGGGCTCTACGACCTGGACGCCCTGCGCTACTTTGTCCTGGCTCCTCTGTGCGTGGGCATCGTGGTCGGCCTCTTCCTCATCCTGGCGGGCATCGTCTCTCTCAACCATGTGCGGCAGGTCATCCAGCATGACGAGCGCAACCAGGAGAAGCTGAAGAAGTTCATGATCCGCATCGGCGTGTTCAGCTGCCTCTACCTGGTCCCGCTGGTCACCCTGTTGGTCTGCTACACCTATGAACAGAGTCAACGCAGCACCTGGGAGAACACCTGGATCCACGACCGCTGTCAGGAGTACAGCATCCCCTGCCCCTCCAAGGTAGCCGTGGAGGTGTAATGCCTCTGAACAAGTTAAGGCCAAAGGAGACAATAGAAAAGACTTTTCCAACTTGTTAATCATGCCCACTTATTCAGTTGATGCTTGTTATGGCTGACTAAATAGGAGCACTAAGCTAATCTTAGCGTGTGTATAAAGTATAAAGTCAATATACGTCCTTAACGTTCAAATGACTAATAAACGCTCAAAAGGCCTAAAATAGTTTGCAAGCTTTAAAAATAGGATGGAATGAAGCTTTGGATGCAGTCTGATTTACATCATTTAACACAAATAGCTACTTGAACGGAAAAAGAACGGATACACCACATTAAATACAAGTCTTTGTGAGCTGCCTTCTGACACAGGAGGACATTTTGCCATAAAAATCCATTACAAAAAATACATATACATAGCATTAATTATGGAGGAACAACGGTCACAAAACATCTATATATTTTTTAAATTAATTTAAAATGGCTGTACATATAGAAAGCACTTTTACTCCTAAATGCGATGTGTAATACATAAGTTACTGTGTGAGAATCATCAGGAGAAAGAGGAAAAATCTCAGAAAACCTATAAAGGGGACAATAAGGACAATGTAAAAGAGAAAACAAACTACAGTAGCTTAGTCCTTTGTTCCTTTGTTAAATATGTCCGAGCCCTAAAGTTTGAAAGCTCTATTTTGTCTTTTAAATTGGTTTATTCAGTTAAACACTTTGTTTGTGTCTCTTTGTTCCAGACAAAAGAGCACGACCGCCCTGACCTCTCCCTGTTTCTGGTGAAATACTTAATGACGCTGGTGGTCGGCATATCTGCCGTGTTCTGGGTCAGCAGTAAAAAAACCTGCTCCGAGTGGGCCTACTTCTTCAACAGGACCCGCAAGAGAGAGTAAGACCGCGCCTCCTGTCCTGTCACGTGCTCACATTCACCTCTCATGAGAAATGAATGTGCAGTTTCACCATAACCTCTCGTGTTCTCTGTCCCACAGTCCCATCACTGAGAGCCGCCGGGTGCTGCAGGAGTCCTGCGAGTTCTTCCTCAAGCACAACAGCCGCGTCCAGCACAAGAAGAAGCACTACAAGCCGAGCTCCCACAAGCTCAAGGTCATCTCCAAGTCCATGGGCACGAGCACCGGCACCGTGCCCACCAACGCGTCCACCGCGACCAATCACGGGGCCTCTGCGCTGGGCAATCACGAGCCCCGCGCACACGGCTCTCTGTCCGAGGCCTCGGCGAGGGAGCACGTGGACAGGGGCACCTCCAGCCGAAGCTCCAGGAGGGGGGAGAGGGAGAGGGAGAGGGAAGGGGGAGAGAGACGTAGCAAAGGGGGGAGCTCCTGTAAGATCAGCAGCCGCTCCGAGAGCGTGCACAGAGTCCCAGATGGGAGGTAAGTGAGACAGATGTGAAATACATACCTTCACTAGCAGTTCAGATGAGCACAGATGTGCACACTTACACTACTTTCAGTATTTAAGATGTTGGTATAATAGACATTTCTGTTGCATCCCAGCTGTGTAGGCAGCCTGTTGTTTTTTTGTTATACAGAACTTTTATCTGTCCAAGTAATGACCACAGATAATCCCTGCCGGGCCGCTTTAGGGTGACTCCGAGGAGCGAGCTGTCGGAGGCCAGGCACGGCCCCAGCACACAGCAGCACCCGGCTTTAAACCCGTCACACAGCACCCGCCAGCTGGCTCACCAGGTGCCCGGGGAGAGCAAGGACGCAAAGGACAGCCCCTGCTGAGACATCGGACCCGTCCCCAAATGTGTCCATCCATCCATCCTTGAATCCACTCAGCCACAATGTTTCATGTGTCTGTGCATGATTGCATTGGTTACGTTGTAGTCAGTGAATGTCCGTTGCCAGCAGAATGTCACATACCTCGAGTATTTTGAATGTGGTATGCTTGGACCAGAATCTGGCTTTTAGGGGGTTGGGGTATTCAGAGCGGCTGTGTCTTTCAGCTTTACTGAGCTTTTTGGCCGTTTGCTATCTACCGAAATGTTGCAGCAGCTCAGCTGTGATCCACCGATACACCTACCGATTTGTAGCTCAATGACATAGAATGCACACTAGAAAATACATTCAATATTTATGTAAATATTCTATTGTTTTATTTTTAGAAACAAAGAAGTCTTTCACTGGACGAGTCGCTACACTGAGAGTTACGTTTAAAAAGGTCATGATATTGCCAAACATTCTACTTAAAGAAAAGTCTTCCTGTGGTAAAACAGTTTTTTGAATGTCTTTCCTGGAAAGATGTTTTCCAGTGAAAACCCTCATCTTGTAAAAAGTGTGCTACTTAACTGCTCCTTTGACTAAGGCATACTCTTAAACTTGACTTGGTTTTCAGATGAATTTGTGATTTTCACGCTTTCCTTCAAAGACTGTACTTTCACTTGTTTGTTTTGATTCCTACTAGTTTCTATTGCACAAACACTTACTGTGCAGCCGTGTCTTTAACTTTATTTTTAAAGTGTCTTGTGAATTTGGATAAAGTATAGTTTTCTACAAGAATGTGCCTCCCTTTGAGTAGTTCCTCATCTTCAAAGAAGCTACAGATGGTGTGTGTGTGTGTGTGTGTGTGTGTGTGTGTGTGTGTGTGTGTGTG